TCATGGGCAGCAATAGTTTTGGAGAAAGGAGAAACAAAAAGAGCAGTTATTGACTGTAAGGTCAGTAACCATTTATAGGTGCGCAGCAACATCACTGGCAGATTTGGGGATGCATCGCAGGACAGAAGGAGTGATTCAGTGATTCTGGGGATCAGTTCACATTCTAGAAAGGAGATAAAGGGTCAAGGAAGATTATATAAGGTAAAGATGAACAAATTTGGGAAAGCATGGAAGAAAAGAACTAAGGAGTGAAGAAATGCATGGAAGAATAATAAAGAGGGAAAATATTGAGGAAAATATTGAGGACAATTGGGATAAAAGGAGAAAGAGGAGTAGATCTTGTGGAAACAAGGACTTCTAACTCTTTTTCAAGTTGTAAAGCCAGAGAGGAAAAGGAGAAAGAAGCATGAGAAATCAAAATCACTTATCTCTAAAGGTCTTGAGGAAGAAAGTAGCAAAATTTGGATTTAGAATCCAATATCCATATTTTCAAATAAAAGGGATACTTATGATAGAAAATACATAAAAGGAAGCCAGATGAGTGATGGAATAGAGGAAAATGACAGTGCTAATTTTGGAAAAAATATTAGCCATGCCCCTCTGGTGACATAGTCAGAAAAACAACTTGAGTAGAGACCATCAGCCCTGAACTCCCAATCAGAGCTGTCCCAGGATAAATGAAACTTGAGGGAAGACAGTCAGCATGTGGAAAGGACATCTGTACAGCTGGGAGGTAGAAAAAACAGAGTGAAGGAAAGAAAGAGGACAGCTACAGGGAGAATGAGGAAAGCCAGAGAGAATGGGATTAAGAGCAGAGATTGACAGAAAGAAAGTGCCCAACAGGAGAATGTAAATGAGAAATACTAAAGAGAGCGGAAAAAAACCAAAAAGTGAAAAAAAAGAGAACAAGCTATTGAAAAACAGTAATAAATAAACCTTTTGTATTAGAAGGGGATACTCAGAGGATTAACAGGAAATAGAGAGAGAAATCTGAGGGAGGTGAATAAAAGGTACATGCACGAATGAGGAAAAAAATACACTTTCGCTTAACCTAGCCTTTCCTTCTGCAAACAGAAGAAGAAAAGACAGGGAATTAACAGTCAACTTGAATTCACATTAGAGTATGCCGGAAAAGCTTCTCATTGACAGTGAGATAGATATGCTGCAAATGAATTTTAAGTTTTGAGTCTGGGTCACTGATGAAGGAACTGGGGTGCAAACAAAACAGGCTCCATGTGATCGCAGCAGGCTCATCAAGCTCACATTTCTGCCTATGCTTAAAATTCCACAAGAGTCAATATATCATTAAAAAAGCTGTAAGTAGTTGTTTCTCTCTCCTTGCAGTATGGGCTTCTCATAATTCTGCAGCCATAGCCCCTAAGGGCTGCTCTATTAGTTTCCACGCTCCTTGAAGCGATGTACGTTTACTCGCACTGTTTAACCAAACCTCAGGTCTATGACACAGCATGGGGCAGCAAGTCCAGCAGTGCTCAGGAGTCGGCTTAACCTTTCTCCCGTGTTACCAACTTACATATCAGCAGAACTAAGCCAGCCCTGAAGAGCCTTTTGAAAAAATAATTGTAGTATCATGAAATAATTGTTTGTTCATTTAGTGTAAGCAAATTCTTTGGTTATTTTTTAAAAAGATGGTTTCACTAAAAACTTACAATATAGCCTGTTTATCAGAGTATGAAATCCCATCCAAACACGTAGATACACCTAAAGTATTACTAATCAATACTTTCCTTCAATATTTTGTACTTGTCTTAAGAAATATTTTCCACCAGCATATTGTGCTATGCAAGACAGTGAATCCTTACTGCTACAGTTACTTCAGAGTTTTCTGATAAAGCAGTTTTTTAAATAGGAAAAAAAGGAAAATAATTGTAATTTGTTGAAACCATATATGGGAATATGTGATAGGTTTAACGTAACTCTTGAGTCTTGATTGCTGCTCTATTACTGTAGGCCACCTTTTTTTTTTTGTGGAACAGAGATCAGTTGCAGTAAGAATGGACTTTATGATCAAGCACTACACAGTTGAATGAAAGAGGTCATCTTCTGTCCTCACCCAAAATGATAGCAGCTTATAGTATTTACCTACAATAAAGGGCGAAAACTTACATTCTTTGTGTTCTCTGAGGTGAGGGCTTCAGACATTTCAGCTGAATGTTATGACCACAGGGTAAACAGCCATACCAGAATGGCTTTCTATTCATCTTTTCTACAGATATGTAGTTTATATAAGTAAATGTCAACTGGAAGAGTGCCTTAAAGCATGGATTCTCAATGTTGTGACTACTGAAAACAAGTAAAAGTATCTGCCCTCCCCCCAAATCTCTATGTAAGGAGATAGAAATGGAAGAAATGTTCTCCAAATGAGCGAACTGAGGGGCAAAACATTCAAGAGCAGTACAGAACAATGAGATTGAAGTCCCTGTCATGAATCAAGACAGGGCTCATCAGAGACACTCAGCACAAGTAAGCACACTGGCCATTTTACTACCAACCTGCCACCTATATCCTTTTCCCCTCCAGAAACTTTCCCCTCTGAAAAGACTTAATAATCCATCTCAGAGCACTAAGCAATTTGGATGACCTCTGGGGCAGGTTTAAACATACTGACTACTCAGATCTCCTCGTCAGATATTTGTTATGACCACATCCACATCCACGCATGTTGGACACCTCCCTCTCCCTAGTGCAAAAGTCAGCCTCCATCCTCATTTGCACAACCTAGGCCAAGCTCTTGACGTCCCGTACACAAAGGTGTAATGTGAGTGAACGCTGTGTTCTCAGCAGCAATTGCTCCTTCCATATGCTCCTTGAAGGCATTTATCCTCCTACTAGCAAAATTCTTTTTGAATTGCCCAGTGATGCAGTTCACCTCTTTGAAAGACTAGATCTTAGAGATCAGAGCAAGTCATAGCCATATTGATGCACTAATTCAGACTATCATGCCTACTACTTTAAGAATTTTTATGCAGTCTCTTAGTTTAAAATGTTTGCATTTATTAAAGTCAGAGATGGTTAAATGATAATAAAGAAAACAATATTTAGAAAACAGATGGGTAAAATTAATTAACAATGTTAAT